GGGGGGGGGGGGCTATGTAGGAGACACAAATGTACAAACCAGAGACTAGTCCATAAAAGAGTTAACTATGACCAGTTAGAAACAGAGATAGGGCCAGTTAGAAATAAAGATAGGGAAGAGGGGAATGGAGATCTGAATAGGGTTTGATGGGAAGGGAGTATGAGAAGAGAATTCAGAGAGAAGTGCAGTACTCAGTTTGAAACTGAGATGGTACTGTGTACTGTATGTGGAATCAGCATAAAGCTAGACTTGATTTTATATAGTAACATTTTATTGTTTTTATTTTTGTACCTCTGCCTGGATTTTTTAATTTAATAACTAACAAGGAAATCTGGTCACACCTTACCAGACTGGACCCACTTATAAACACAGCCAGTTGTCCAATGTAGTGCCCCCCTTTAGGCCTGACTACCAGATATAAGGAGAGATTTTGGCAAAGGGCAATCTGAGTGAGAAAAGTCCAAGGATAGGAACTGCAGGGCCAACTTGAATAGCAGTACCATCACAGCTCATATCTAGGATATGTGAATTATGTAACCAGTGCTAGATGCATGGTACTGCCAGCCTGACTAAGAACAGTTGTTTCTAAAGGATTTGGAACATTCACAGAGCTCTGGCAAAGCATGCTGAAAGCCTTTTCCACAGCTGTGTCCTGTACTAGAGAAGCATGATGTCTGACAGTAAGCAGATGTTAAATTATCTTAGCCTTCATGACTGCAAAGCCAGGCTTTAAAATATATGGGAGCCAGAGCTGAGACTGAGCAGGATATCTGCTGCTTGGAGGAGGGAAGGGAGGACTAAAGAAGCAGCAGAATTATACTTAATAGTGCCTAACAAGTAGAATAATGTTGTGTGTGTGTGTGTACGCGTTGATTATACAAAGCAAACAAATGAAAATACAGGATTTAAAAATATGTTGAACCATAACATCCATCATTCCCAGCCAGAATAGTTATTGGAGGGGACCAGCATGGGGAAAACTAGCAGAAATCAAAAAGTGTTCCAGAGGTTTCCACAGATGAAAACAGGTGAATCATTAGTATCTCTGCCTCAAACACCTTCAGATGTTATTGGACTGCAGCTCCCAGCACCCCAGTAGAAAACAGTAAGGATTATTGGAATTGCAGTCCAACTGAGGAGGTCCAAACAGTGGTCTTCTCTGATGCAGGTACTTCCAAAGAAGCTATTTCTAAGATAAATTAATACTCCTGACATTAGAGGTAATTAGAGGGTATGGTTATGAAGATGGAGAATGTAGAACTGAAGACAGTCCCTGATAATGGACATTATCCCTGATATTCAATTCTACATATGATTACTTTTCCAGAAGGGATTATACGCTTCCCTCACCCCCATTTTATTAACCTGGGTAATTAATGCAGAAGTTGAATTAACATGTGTTGTTGATAGGCGTTGATATCCATTGAATACTA